TCTGTTAAGAACTGAAATGACTTTTTTAGGCATATTGTCCACTGTCAAAGTATGTAGGGGTATAGAATTCAGAACATGTTTTATGAGAATAAGTCTTCCCCCTTGAGAAAGATTTCTTTGCTTCCAAGGGGTGAGCTTATTCTCAAATTGGTTGATAATGCTTCCACAATACTGAAACCTGTTAATGCCTTTATGGAGATTAACTCCCAGGTATTTAATAGGTAAGGAAGATAATCTCATTCCAAGTGTATCCTTGATCTTCATCTGTCTGGCTGGGGTGGAGTGACCACAAACAAAGGTACTTTTTTCAAAATTAACTTCCTGCCCACTAGCCTGCTGATAGCTGAGCAAAATTTATTTGAAATTGGAAACAGATCTAGTATCCCCATTAGTAAAGATCAGTAGGTCATCAGCAAAGCCCAAGTGAGAAATAGGGAAACCATGATTACCCAACCAGAACTGTTTAATTTTTCCAGCTTCCATTAAACCATTAAGACCCCTTGAAAAAGCTTCTGCTGCAATAATAAAAAGAAAAGGGGATAGGGGGTCCCCTTGTTTAACTCCTCTGGTAGGCTTGAAGAAACCTTGAGGGGAACCATTGATAAGAATAGAAAGAAAAGTAGCCCTGAGGTTATTCATAACCAGATGAACAAATGGACTGCAGAATCCAAATTTCAGTAGAATAGCACTCATAAACTGCCAAGAAACCTTGTCAAAAGCCTTTGCCATGTCAAGTTTTGTCAAAACCACGACTTTTACTATTTCAGCTACTTTATTATAATTATATCAAAACAAAGTACGACACATAAAATGGGACGGAGATAGTATCATTTAGAAGTTTACATATTATTTGGTTTAATAAAAATTGACAAGAATAATCTCACCTTTCGATGGTCTTCTCAGAATAATCTTACATTTACGTAATCCCAGAATAATCTCTCATTTGGACCACATCTTCTTTTATTGGTCATTGACCCTTTGATGACCTGTTATTCTGTTTTATTTGTCTTCTATTTGAAAGCCTTACAAAAAAATCACCTTTCATCGATCTTCTCAAAACTATTTCATATGTATTTTTTCATTTTTCTTGCTACAAAAATTTCTCGTTTTTTATCATCTTAACCCTTTATTCCATTTTTTCATCTTCTTATTATTTTATTTAATTTATCTCTCTATCTATTTCCTTTCTGCCTTATCAAAAAGCCTTTTTGTAGAAATTCTCCTCCATAATTTTCTTTCTTTCTTCTTCTTTCCCATTTTTACTCTAGAAAATTAGTTGTTGGGGGCACTATACTTGCTAAAAATATTTTTAGATGAGTTGATTTCAACATTAGACTAGATCAGATCAGACTTTGGCAATTGTAAAATACCAACAGGTCAGACACCTAGGAGGTCAAATAAGTTAAAATAACTCAATCATATCAAACTAGATCAGATCATAACAGTATAGCCCAATTAAAAATATTTAAGTAAAATTCATACTCCCTCTGGTCCTTAATTAACTTTACACTTTCCTTTTTGGGTTGTCCCATATTAAACTTTACACTTCCTTATTTGCCTTATTTGGCAAACAAATCTACATCAAACAGTGCAAAACAGTGTCAAACAGTGTACTCTACAGTAAAGTCAAATTTATTTCCTTAATATGTGTGAAGTCAAAGTGTAAACTTCATCAAGGATCGGATGGAGTATAAAAGACTGAAACAACAACATATAGATTATTTTAAAGTTTTCACCATCTTAGAAGTCATTGTTTTTACTTTGTCCCTTTTCAACTCATTCTTTTTCACTAGTTTTTGACATATTAATGACTTGTGACTTGTTATTTTAGTTTTTAATTTATTTTCCCCCCTTTTCAGCTAATTTTCCTCACATCTATCCTTTTTCGTGTAAAGAGTATACATTATTTTTTTCTTTTTCACTTTTCCTTGATTGTTTTATTTTTCTTTGTATTTTGTTTTTTCCCTAATGTGTTTTTCGCAAAGAGTTTTTCGCGCAATTGGAATTAATGAACGATCTTACTTAGAAAAATCTGATGATGCAGAAAGGAGAATAAATATATTGACGATAAGATTAAGGTAACAGGAAGGGAAAAAAGAAGAAAGAAATAAAACTCAAAAAAAGTAAAAATATAACGAAAGTAGAATGACCTAAGATCTTTTATAAAAAAGAGAATGATTAAGAAGAAAAATACATAAAAAGTGAAATGAAATAAAAGTATGAGGAGGAGGAGGAGGAGGAGGAGGAGGAATACATAAATATAAAAGCATAAATATAAAAGTAGAATACATAAATGTAAAAACTCTGTCATTTTTCAATAAAAAATGCATTTGTCTAAAAAGTAGAATACATAAATATGGAAAAGAAATGAAAACAAAAGGACAAAAAAAGGTGTGTAAAGATAAAATAAAGAGAGAAAAATATAAGGGAGAAAAAATAAAAGGGAAAAGTATGGGAAAGGTACTTGTGGTTGAACTCGTTTTCAGATAGGGTCATGTGTTTCATTTTTTATCAAAGCATGTGTTTGAATTGCGTTATCACAAGAGGGCCACAGTGTTAAAAACGTCTTAGAAATATGGTTAATAGCAACTCCAATTTTCAAAAGTGCCCAAAAAATTAAAAGAGAAATACCGGAAGATGCGCCTCAACAAGACGACCGCTAGGTCATCTTTCTTTTTTGTTTCTAGCCACCCTTGTCACCGGAAAGTCCACCGAAAAAAGTCATATTAGCGAAATCATTTTTAAAAAATAATTCAAATAGATCCGAAAAATCCAAAGGCGGATGTGGTTTGGAGGTCAATTTGACGAGGCGTACCATCCGATATTTTTTTTTTATTTTTCGGGCACTTTTGAAAATCAGAATTACTATTAACCATCTTTCTCGGGCTTTTTTAACGACGTGGCCCTCTTGTGATAACGGAATTCAAACACATGAACGACTTTGATAAAAAATGAAAGGTATGATCCTATCTGAAAACGACCCCAACCACACGTACATTTTTTGTACTTTTCCCAAAATAAAAATGAAACATGGGACATTTTGGGAAGGTTTGTGACTTTCTAGAAGAAGTGAGATTATTTATGTAAAGTTTGCAAAGAAAAAGCAAAAAAACAGATATAACAGGTCATCAATCAGTTAGGGATCAACGAAAAAAGATGAGGTGCAAATGTTAGATTATTCTGTGATTATGTAAAATGTGGAATTATTTTCAAAATAAATCAAGTAGATCTAATCATCATAACTTATATGCAAATGGCGTGCAAACTAAGGTGAAAAAGGTCAAAAAAACAAATTGTCGACGCAAATCTGATACTCCCTCCGGTCCAAAAACAAATTCACACTTACTATTCATTAGTCAACTTAAATCACTCTTAATCTTTTATTTTATATATCAAATTTAAAATTTCTTGATCACTTTGTAGCGGTTTTAATCCGAGCGTGAACAGGGATCGAGTTGCTTTATCGTCGTAAACCGTGAGTGAATTTCTTTTGGGACCGGAGGGAGTATTTCAAAGGACAGCTGATGAGCTGATCCCCATGCACCGAACATAGCTTGAAATGTAAATATACAAGTCCTAGAAACTCAAGCAAGTACAGAAGTAACAGAACTAAGTAATACTCCCTCCGTCCTATATTTATCTCCTGAAGTACAAATGGCACACAGATTAAGATAGTGGGAAATGTATGGTGGAGAGTTGTGCAGAGGAAAGAGAAATGTGTAAGAATGTGTAAGAATGGTTGTGAACCACAAATTATTTGCTAAAAAGGAAAAGAGAAGATAAATTTGGGACAGACCGAAAAGGAAAGTATGAAGATAATTTCGGGACGGAGGGAGTATAAGTATTTAATTCCTGAGTAGCCTGACACAGTGACTTGCTAACATACAATCTGGAAACTTAAACAATATACACTACAAATGTTTCAAAATAAAATTAAAAAGTGTCCATCTATGTTGCATGTAAACGTGAAAATCATGAGTGAACATCATCCTTTACTTCATAAACAGCTTTTTCGAGAGTTTCTGTAAAGTTTTCGAAGTAAAGACGTACCCTTTCACAATAGTTTTTCTATGCTTTATCAAAGTGTGCCTTGAGGCGATTTAGCAAAGGAGCACACATTACTGTTAGGTCTTTACCGGGTGCTCATCAGTCATCCCACGTTTAGAGTAAGAAAAATTAAAGATTAACAAACAGAAAAAAGGAGAGAAGTCAGAGGCTTCGAGAACTAGAACGTCAATCTTTCAAAAATGATGTTTGTACCCACTTTTGTATGCACTCATGTTTGTGAAAGCTTTTTTTGTCTGTGAACCGGGTTCATAGACAAAAAAGGCTTCACAAACATGGCGGACATAAAGTGGATATAAGAGTGGGTACATCAAGTATTGTTGTCAATCTTTCTTAGGTGGTCAAGTTGTACCCTCTGACATGACCCAACGGCCACCAGATGAGGTATTGTCTTTCCAAAAAAAACTTTTTGTACACACTTTTAGGGTTTTACACACTTGTACACACTTCAATCCAACATTAAAGCTTGACGAAATAGCCTTAAAGCTACATAGATTTTCTTGCCATGTTTATTGAACGTGAACTGTGATTGCCATGGAAATGAAGAATGGACGAAACCTAAACAAGTCGAGATGATAAGCTTTGCTTGTATGATGATGTGATGAACGAAATCCTAACCCATTCGACTTGTGTCATATCCCATTAATTAAATAGTTTCAGTTTGGAAAATTACCCTAAATAGGAGTAAATAGATTTTGAAATTTCAGAGTACTACTATTATGTTTTTCTTCCCGAAATAGGAATCACTATTGTCATGATTAAAAAATATTGTTATTAATGGTAATAAATATTATCATGTTAATGCTTGATAGTGCAACTTTTTTGACCATAGTAACTCCAAGATGACAGTAAATACTATTATTTCTGTTTTGGAATTCCAAAACTTATTTACTCTTATTTCGAGAACTTCTCTTTTGATTTTGTCATGCATGAACAAGACTACTTTTTGGAAGAAAAAAAATGGATTACCTATGCCTCATTTCTCGAGTCCCGTTGCTCGCAAAATTGTGTATACACTAGGTCAAAAAGCGCTACACAATCAACCTACCTATAACTCTATGAGGTACAAAAATATCTAAGCACCAAACTAGTGTTGGATATAGTCCTGGTTCCGGACTTCCGGATGGGACTGGTCGGCATGTTATCTGGAAACCAAATAATCCTGAATAGGCCATTTCCCTCCAAATAAAACCGAACAGGCCAGTTCCCGTAATGATTTAAAGGATACAAAACTGGGTAGGAACTGCCTGTTTAGTTTCAGCCAGAACTGGCGGCACAATGACGCCGTCTAACAATTTTTGTTACAGATTATGCCTCAAGTGGCAGGAACTGGCCAGTCCGGAACCAGATGGTAACCAGCCCATGTCCAGCTCCACATCATCAAACTATGTATTCCATCCGAAGGATGAGACGGCCAAAAACACATGTATATGTTATTTGTTTAGCAGGTAGCAGCTGATATTGCTACTGTTCCATATATTCTAGGTTAAGAACCCAAAAAGATCCATTCTCATTTTTCTCCAGAGTTGCAATCTCCTTCAAAAGACCCTTAAATAATGCCAAATCTTTTGATGATACCCTACTTCTAAAATGGTCTACGATGCTCGCTGAACTGGTTCGTCCACCTTTCCGTTGAATAAATGTACAAATTTGCCTGATCAGGACTTCTGGCTGCATCCCACTCGAGCCACCTTTAGACATCCTAGAGCTTGATACCAAATTAAACTGATGCTCTAGCCCATCACTAACTGCCCTTTCTTGGTTGCCTCTGATCCTGGCCAGCAACTCAGCTGAAGATAGTGCTTTACCTGCACATGCCCCAGCAGCAATTCCATTTGGCCTGCTGTTTTTGGACGATGACTCTCCCGAGGACTTTGAACTAGTAGCTACCAAAAGAGGGTTAATGGTAGAACCAAATTTCTTTTTGACAGATGATGGTGCCCCTGCAGTTCCAGATCTGCCAGTCCAGGTTGGGACAGCCACGCTTTCTTGCCTCCGAAGCATTCGTGACTGGCGCAATGCTTCTGCAGCTCTCTGTGCAACTTGTGAGGCTTGCTCTTCTAGCTTTAGTTTCTCTTCATCATGAGCATTCATGATGGCGTCGTGATCCAATGCACTCTGCAAATTCAAAAAATAAAATGATAATGGTGAACTGGAATTAGTTGCGTAATGAAAACCACATGAGTTATGCATAGTTGACAAAGTCAACTATGAATTTAAGTCCAACCATGTTCTAACCATTGTGTTATCGGAATATAGCAAAGTTAGCAGATATGTGGGATATTCCGGAACACGGTTTGTAAAAGGGAACAAGGCACTTCTTTTGTACTCCTCCGTCCCATAAAACTTGACCAAATTGACTTTTCTTCATCAATGCTAATAAACTTTGAATAAAGGTTTTAGTTATTATATTCGTGTCAAAATTATAATGTTTATACTTTTATGAAAGTATTTTCAAGTTTTTAACAAAGAATATTTCCATATAATTTGCATATTCTATACAATTTTGTGTTAAAAGATATCATTAGTTAAACTTCACCATATTAGATCAAGAAAAGTCATATGGCCAAGTTTTGGGGGACAGAGGGGTATGTTAGTGGGTAGTTTGGGTATTTCATCCCTCTCCCCTTCCTTCCCTTCTCTCATGCCAAACACACCAAAGACCATCTCCACATACCTAACTAAAAATGTCAACTATCATCTTCTCCCTATACACATTCTTCTTTTTTCTTAACGAAGTCTTCACCAGATTTTTTGCTACCTTCATGTGGTTTTGCGTAAGGTTAAACTAACTCATATACACTCAACCCTAACAAGCACTTTTCATTTTTCCTGAGAACTGGGCATAGTTCTGATTTTCTTGGCATGCCTTCTACTCTGAAAAAAGGAACTTCAATCCTGAGTTTTCAGAAAACTAGAGGTGTGACTTGGTAAATATGTTCCAAGTTCCAACGTGCTATTGAGGGAACTAGTTAGCTAAGGAATACAAATACCAGCTTTGTCAGATGCCAACTTACATGAATCCCATTTGCATCAAAAAGACTCTGCAAGATACTAGTTTCTTCCTCTACTTCACCTTTGCTGTTATAAGCTTTCTCTTTCTCTTCGCCATTGCTTCTTGTGTCATTATCTTTTTCCAGATCAGTGGCCTGATATGCTGGCTTTGTTTGAGTGGATGTATCCATTTCCTGATTAGGGTGTTCAGGCCCAGTAATATTTACATCCTCATTTAACTGGCTAAAGATATTAGATGTTTCTGTAGATCCATTCTCCCCATCCTCATTCAAGGTGAAGAGATCTTTCAAATCACGAGATTTGAAAAACCGTCTCTGCTGTGGGTTCTTCAAGATTTTGTTGGTCAGGAAGTGCTTGTATATCTGTCTGTGATACACCTTCTCCTCAATAGTTCCACGGGTAATTAACCTGTAAACAATCACATCTTTCTTCTGACCAATACGCCAAGCACGCTCCCTGGCCTGGCATATGCAATGACAATTCCAATAAGGCTATGATTGAAAAATAAAATGTTGCAAATTCAATATTTATCATGTTTTTCTCTACGGATTAGCACTTATTCTCTCTCCTTTACTATAGTTGAATATTTTATGCTGAGACGCTCAATATGAGCACCTACTGGATCAAAACAGAGAGCATAACATACCTGCATATCATTAGATGGGTTCCAGTCAGGATCAAAGATAATGACTCTATTGGCACCAGTTAAATTTGTTCCGAGGCCACCAACTTTTGTAGTCAAGATGAAGATAAAAACTTCATCTGCAATATTAAATTCATCTATTAAAGCCATTCTTTGCTTTGCAGGTGTTGCACCATCCATTCGCCTATAGTTATAGCCGTTAGTGACTAGAAAATTTTCTAAAATATCGAGCATCTGTTGTGTCTGAGTAAAAAAGAGTACACGGTGACCTTGACCATTCCACAGCTTAAGCACTTCAGAAACAACTTTCATTTTCCCACTGCGCTCGGGATTTCCATAGTCAGGATCACTACGAGAATGTTCTCTCTCTAAAAGATCCGGATGGTTACAAATTTTGCGCATCACATCAATTCCATACAAAGTGTTTTTGCTACCCTCAAATATCTGTTCGACCTCTGAACTAGCGAGAAATGATCGATAAATTGATCGCTGTACTGAAGTCAGGCTGCAGAAAAGGACATGTTCAGTCTTCTTCGGTAGGTGGGCATTTACATCAGCCTTCATTCGTCTTAGAAGATATGGCATGATCAAGTCACGTAAGACCACGGCACATCTGCATATTATAACAGTTATGCAAGAACCCAAACCAGTATATTAGAAAATAAACACCAAATATAGTGAGAGATTATAGATTAGTAACTACCAAAATCACGACATTACATACAACATATTACAAATTAACATCTGTTGTGTATTTACATGATGCATATGTTTCCCGTATTTTATTCATCACCATCTGACAACCATAACTCACTTAAATCCCAATGTCACTGGTTTCAGTGATTGACAGTCTAAGACTAATTATAGCTGTAAATTTATGGCATTTTTATGCCCTTTGAGAAAATACCTAATATGAGATGAAATTACAAAATCATCACCTTTGTCAGGTCTCTCCGCTTGCATGAAAATTATCACGATTCATGAGGCAATGATAAGTTCAGATAGTTGTTATAGACTTATAGTCATGTCTCATTGAAACACAGAGTCACAGATATTGAAAAATCAATATGCACATCATCAAACATGATGGTAGTTTCCTATTTTTTTAATTTTAAGTTCCCTCATCAACCAAAAAGTATATAATATAAAAACAACAGATTCACTGTCTTCTTATTTTCACATTCCCAATTCTAGTTTAATATGGAAGAGAAAGGGAGGAAACAAAACAGATTTTGCAAGTCCTTATTTATCACATTGTTCACCAAGAAACAATAGTTCTTTAAATTCTTAAATACTCCCTCCGGTCCCAAATGAAATTCACACTTTCCTTTTTGGGTAGGTCCAAAATAAACTTCACACTTCTTCTCCCTTCCTTATTTGGCAAATTATCTACATCAAAACAGTGCAAAACAGTGCCAAACAGTGTACTCTACGACAAAGTCAAATTTATTTCCTTAATTTGTGTGAAGTCAAAGTATGAATTTCATTTAGGACCGGAGGGAGTATAAATAAAAGGATTAAAAACATCTAGCAGATTTCCACTTTTAGACTTAACAAATACAACCACGGCGGAAATGTTTGGATCCAGATCTAAACTTTAAATTTTTTAAATGCGTACCTGTAGGCAGTGGAAACTTGCAATGGTGTCGCATTAGCATAACCTCCAACAGAAATCGGAACAGAAAATTCTGACTCAAACACAGGCAGGACACCCAGCTTTCCAGGGAAGACAAAATCAAATAAAGACCATAACTCAGAAAGCTTATTCTGTATAGGAGCACCAGTCATTATGATGCGATGTACTGTCTGCAGCTGCTTGCAAACAAGAGTAATTTCTGCATTAGGATTTCGAATCCGATGACCTTCATCTAATACAGCATAACCCCACTCTATATCAAGTAATTTCTCTCCTAGTACCCGCAGTTGCTCATAAGTGGTGACTAGCAGACCAGAATCTGACCTCAAAACACGGTTTATAACTGTATCCCATTTTTTGGTAGCCCTAGCAGACAACTTTTCATCAATGTCACTTCCAAGTAGTTCTTCACTTTCATAATCACTTTCACAAGATTTGGATTGCTTCCTTCTGCGAGGCAGGTCATGAGCTGAATCATGTAATATCTCGACATGAAAGCTTGGATACCATTTTTGCGCTTCCCTCTTCCATTGTTGCAGTAGAGTGACAGGGCATACAATGATGCTTGGCTTGTACACATTACTGAAATGCAATGATCCAAGAAATGCTAAAACCTGTATTGTTTTACCAAGACCCATCTCATCTCCGATTATCCCACCGGCCTTTTGGCAGTGAAGTTCCCATAGCCACTGCACTCCAACCTTTTGATAGTCGAAAAGTTTGTCATAAATTGTATCCTGAATCTTTAATCCACCCTCAAGCATCACAAATGGTGAACTTTCATCATCCACATTTTCAGCTTCTCTTTCATCTTCATTACTTGAAACTTCAACATATTTCACAAGGAAAATGGACAAATAAACTATCTTCTTTATTTGGAAAAAGTAAAGCTTCACTTAAAATGCGCATAACACGTCCATTCGATCATATTTCATATTTGAATCGCCACTGGAAAAAAAATAAAGAACTGTCAAAACTCAAAATGTACCTGGTTCTACATCAGCTTTGTCTACAGAGGATGCTTTCATTCTCCATTTCTTGCCAGGCTTGGGCCTTCTTATCCTACTCTTACTTTTCCTGTCATTCTCTGAAGAATCTAAGCTTTTCACAAGTCTTCCTATTTTTGGAAATTGAAAAGGAAGGGTAGGTGGATCAAGTGTTGGTAACGATGAAGAATCAAGCAGCTTGGTAGTTGGTCTAGACTTTGCAGCCTCAGAGATTGACCTGATAACATTGGTTAGGCTAGTTGAACCGCCAGCACTGTTCTCTTGAATACTGTGCCTAATGGACGGCCCTGGTTCTTGAATTCCACGCTCAAAACCTTTGAGCTTGTGGAAGGGAGTTAAAATTCCTTTTCTCACCAACTGATCCCTTTCCTTAATAAATAAATATGAAATAATAATAATGTATAGTTATATCAATAGATTGGCTAAAATGCTACGGAGTATATAAAAGAATAGTGGTTAACACTTCCATAGTTCAAATTAGTACAAATTAACAGACCTCATTAAAAAGGGGAAAAACTTTTTTAATACAACTTAGTGAAAATAAATTGAAAATTACTTACTGTTTCAACAAATCCAGAAGATGCCGCATTCAATACTGCATCAAAATCATCATCATCATCCAATGATGCTAACTTTATCCTTCTTGACTTATTCTTGACAGGGTTTGTCGCTTCTTTCAGTCTTTTTTTGGGTTTGGGGTCTTCCTTAACAAGATCTCTTAAGAAAGTTGTGGAATCATGAATTTCCTTTTCAAGTTGAACTTTGGTTTGTAATAGACTTTTTAGTCGATCAGCAGCCAAAGCATGCTGAAGTTTTAAATCATTAAGACGAGGCTGAGCACTGCTTTCCTCAGTCTCAGAAGCATTCCCTTCATCGCCATCTTTTCTATGAGAGACTTGCCTATCCTTTTTTCTGAGGTTCTCTAATTGTTCAAGGCCATGCTTCACTGCCTGTATTTCAACTTCCACAGCTCTAAGTTTATTATACAAATCTGTGCTTTTGGTAGACGATGTAGCATTGTATTCAATAGTCACTGCTTCTACATTCCTTGTGGGCTTTACAGCTTCATTGCTCTCATCAAGGTTTTTCTGTGCCTGGCAATGCCATAATACCTAGTTACTCCCAATATATAACCAAACACATTTTTATGGGGGTGTTTGAGTCTTCATCTGCCATCTCAGATCTTCTGGAATTGAGAATGACATGTTTAATATTAATGATGAGAGATGAGTTCATACTTTTTTGAGTTCAACTATGATTTTTGGATATTAGATAATCTCAACATTCTATGCTTGGTGCATAAACTTTGAGCAATAAATAAACCTGTTTGAATATATTGTGCTCAATATCTTCTGGTTTAGCAGATGTTACACCCAAACTACTGAATAAAACCCTATCTTCCTCATCTTCATCCATTTATGGTTTTCTGGATAAAGAAAAACACAAAAAGATCCACTCATTAGAAGAGGCAGTCAAAATAGATTTATGTTAACAAACATAGCACGTGGCATATAGGTTTTCATTATAGCACAGGTAGAAGTATAGGAATCACTGAAAGGATAGCTTTTGAGTGTCATAAAAATTGTTGAATTTGTACAAATGTATTAGGCGAAACTCATACAAATTAGAAAAAAGTAAATCACCATATATTCTTCATTGTCACAAAAGTAAAAATAAAAACATACCTCCAAAATTTTAAAATTAAACAAACCTAATTGTACACCAGTTCCATTCACCATGAGTTCTCCATATTTGTGCCAATCTTCTAAAGTTTCGTAGAAATTCGTACAGCACTAGCGGGTCATTAATCTAAAGATTATCATATAAGATATATTTCCATCCAACAAGGAGAAAATGATAAAATTTTAATATCTCGTCACAAAATCAAAACTTTTCAATGACGTTCTACAAACCACGTAACGGTACCAGACTACCAGTAAAATCAAACATGATTCCTTAATCTATAACGTTTATCCGATATTTAAATTCACACATGGAGTAACAGGTTTTCAATAAGGGAACGTTCTACTCCTTACCGGTTTTTTACGCTAACAATTTACTTCTCACGATCTCTTCCCAACAAATCCACCCGCCCAGAGAAACTAGCAGTGAGGAGAGGATTTAGGACCGATAAAAATCAGAGAACCCTGGAGGCGCGAATTATAAGATATTGATGCGTTGCATTCCAGGCTTAATAATTTAAGAGTTCCGGCTTCAAATATCAATATGGATGCCGGTAAATGCTCCAATTTGAGCAGACGTCGCTGAACACCGATCGATCTTCTCACAATGAAGGAAGTAAGCTGCCAGAACGCGTAATTATTACGTAGTACTTACTCCTGTTCTTATTTAATTCTGAGTTTGACTTCACACATATTAAGAAAATGAATTTGACTTTACTGTGGAGTGCACTCTTTGACACTGTTTGGACACTTTTTGATACTGTTTGGCACTGTTTTGCACTGTTTTGTTTCCTAAAATGGAAATGTGAACTTAAATAAGGGACATCCCAAAAAGGAAAATGTGAACTTATATGTTGCCCGGAATCCCAGCGGCCCAGCGCTGCTAATTTTCTACAAGTTACCTTAAGCTTGCTAAGTTGCGAAATAATACGAGTACTGGAGTACGGAGTATTATTTAGGAGTGGGCATAATGGTTAGTTCGGTTTGACCGAACTGAACCGTACCAAACCGAATTAAACCGAATCGAAACCGAATTATTTGTAATTTGGTTTGAGTTTGGTAGTATTCTTCCCAACCTGTATCATAAAACCGAATAAAGCCGAATAAAAACGAAGTAATCTAAAAATGAAATAATTTCTTATTTTTTTAAAATAACAAATCAAAACCAACTTACACTACACTAAACCAAACCAAAATATAAGATTTCTCTCATTAATTTGATTGATGTTAATCTTTTTTAAGCTTTAATTCTTTAATTTTAGTATCCAGGACTAGAGTTTACTACAAGAGTTACATTCACAACTATAACAATTATAGTGGTTTAAGTAGATAGTATTTAACTATAATTTATTATCTACTACTACTATATATTTGGTTCATTACTTACAAGCACCCGTTTTGTTTTGTTTCGGCTTTATATATAATTTGATTCATTCCCGTTGTTGTTGTCGCTTACAAATGTGTCAGCTTATATATTTTTGGTTCATATGTGTTTTTTTACTATTTGCAAATTTATATCTAACATTATATTTGATTCATTGCTATCACTTCTTGGTTCATTATTTTGAGTTAATTTTTTTTTTCAATCTGAACCTTAATACTTTGGTAAACCGAACTTCAAACCGAACCGAACCATACCAAACCGAAACTTAATCGGTTTGTATTTGGTACATTTTCTATCAAACCGATTAAACCGAAACCGAAGAAAATCGAACCGAAAACCGAAATGCCCACCCCTAGTATTATTTGTACACATTTTCTGTAAGCACTTTTTAGTTACTTGTGTATAAAGGTGCACGTAAAATGTGTACAAATAGTAGGGCTCTTCAATTTAATAATAGTATGCATATAGTTGTACGGAGTATCAATCTAGACATGTCCGGTTCAAGGTTCACTCGGAATTGGAATAGAAACCATTAATTTTTTAATCGAACCCTAAATATATATAGTTTCTCTGGTATAGTATCGGAGGATCATTAATCCGGTTCGACTCTCTTAAAATTTGAAATTGGAGTAGTTAGTTTCTCATTGTCAGACTAAAAACTAATCATATACACGCACACTAAAACATTCGCGACAGTCGTACCATACATTGAATGATTATGTATTGTGAAAAAGCAATATATTCTTAGCAATCACAGTTGAAACTTAATGATCATTGCATGTCAACAATACAAATATTGGGAGTGTTTGACAAATATCTGTTGGCTATTGCCTTATTGATAACAGTGGATTTTGTTGGTTGTTTTGATCGACTCGTAATATTAACAGTTTGTAAAATTGTGTTTGATTGAATGATTGTTTACAATCATCTGATAACCATTTAAATGACTTTTAAGGAAATCAAATTTTTTATTTACTAATCACTTTTGCATACTACGTATGTATTATAAATTTTGTTAATGTTATTTGCATTAAAAAAAATTATAAATTTCTTTCTTTCAAAAAAATGTTGTTTGCATGACTAGTCCATAATCGTCTTTATGATTTACAAAAACTAAAAAATATTATCAAAAGCAATAAACCTTTTACACGTTATTTTTAATGTATTAACAAAATCCAATACCAATAGGAGCTCTGGGGATAAATAGCAACAAAACCCAGTTTTAGTATGAGCTGGAATAACAAGTAAAAAACAAAATTAGCGGCAACCCATTTGATAATTGACAGAGGCTTGTATATATGATTTGAATTAGTGAAGAGAAGGGAGGCAACGGAGAGTTGTTGGAAGAGAAGGCATGGATGGGTAGATTAGAAGAATTGCGTGCGAAAGTGAATTGGTCAATGCCTAAAAGCTAGGTTTTGTAGTTTTTTAAATTTTGGCAATTTAGATCAAAAGCTAAATAAAAAAGTCATGTAACCAAACACCCCTATTAGCTGATTCATCTCGTCAAAAAGGTCAAATGTTGGTCAAAACAATCAAAAAACGATTGATAGGCCATTAATCAAACACTCCAATAGGAAAACCCAAAGAGTAGAAGGCGGAATTTGAAAAGCCTTTAGGGAAAACTGTCAATCAAGTCCATGTAGTATATCAAAAACGTCAATTAAGTCCTTGTACTATACAATCACCCAATCAAATCCCTGAACTATAAAAAACCATCCAATTGAGCCTCTTAGGCAGTCACCAATAGGTTAACTAGTAACGTGGTTGATGTGGAGGTTGACATGGCCTACATTTTTCTAGACGGCATTTTTTCATCTTTTCATTTTTTAATGGGAAAGAATTTCTCCAATTTCCTTTCCCTTCTTTTCCAAACCTAATTCTAGCCTATTACTCCTCCGTATACTCTTCACTTCAACCCTCAATAGAATGCCTAAGCTCATGCTTGGTTAATGAATCCCCGAGCTCCGTGAGGTCAAAGCTTGGGTATGATAAGCTCATGTTGGAGAATTCATCTCTCGTCTTCAGTTGGTGATTCTTTCGTTGAATTCATCTCTTGTCCGGTTATGGTGATTCTTTCGTTGACTTCATCATCCTCGCATCAGTGTCATAGGTCGGAGCTGGCACCGACCTAGGTGTGCTCGAGGTCAGCCTCATATTTCATCATATCTAGGTGATCTGCGAACTTGACGTTGGTGCCGACCTCGGTGGTCGAGGTCGGCCTATGCTGGATCTTCGTATTTTGGAGATTCGTCATCTCGTGCTTAGTCCCGACCTCGTGCATCGAGGTCTGCCTCAGCTGAAGCTCTTGTACTTAAACCCTAAACCCTAAACCCTAAACCCTAAACCCTAAACCCTAAACCCTAAACCCTAAACTAAGTGTCTGATGCAACTAGAAGTCTTCGTCCGCCAATTATGATACCCTCAGGGGTGTATGGGAATATACTCCATCAAAAGTATTGTTGCCACCTATGGCAGTACATACAAAAATTATCGTTTGCCTCCCATTGTGTCTATACAAAAATTAATGTGCTTTTGCCACCTATGGTTGTACATACAAAGACAAAATTGAGTTCATTCTTGAAGATCATCATCATCTTCAAGAATGAACTCGCACCTCCCTAGGCATGTTATTCTGCTTGTGTCCCTCCTGTCTGCATGTGAATCACTGTTGCTATTGCTTCTTGTACTAGTTTAGGGGTGACTAGTACATTATTGGGTAACAAATCTTGTCTTCGAAAATTGTCTTTGCCTACATGTTTTAGCTTGTAATGATTTCCACCCTTATGCTTTAATATTTCTTCCATGACATATTGATAGCTTAGGAAGACTTTGTTCAAAGTTGATGGTGTCGGTTCATTAAAAGTTGTACATGTTGGGAAAATGTGTTAAAATTGCATTAAATGGTCATTTTGGGACAATTATTTGACTAGGGTCCACTTCCGATTTGGGTCGGGTCAAAGGGGTTTCGGATTGTCCTTGTTAAGGGCTACAATTTGATATATGGTACGCTCAAACGGATAAAGGGTGAATGAGAAGTTGATTCTCGAAGTTCACTCGTTGAAATGGAAAAACTGGGGAAATGATGGGTTTCTAGTGTGTTTTATACCGCACCGGAAAACTCAAGGGATTTTCACCCCCTTATAAAGGGAAGCCTCTTTGAAGGAGTTAAGATTCCTGAAGGTAAAGGCTCTCTCTTACGCAGTTACGCGCAGGGGGGTGCCGATCAAATCCCGAAACGGAGAAGGAAAATCGCGACTCGTGTGCGCGGGCGACCTGCGGACACGAATGTCGTCCGAAAATCTATCATTTAAAGATACAATTTAGTTTTGGTTTCTTCTCGTAACGTTCCTTTGTTTTTTCCAAGCTGGCAGAATCGCTTTGTTTCTGTCCGGATCAAAAGGGGTTTCTGTTCTCAACAGAACCGCTCTGCTTCTGTTCGGTTCAACAGAAACCCTCGAGGTATTCTGTCCGCAACAGAAGGGCTCAAAAGAAACCCTCAAGGTCTTCTGTTCGCAACAGAGACGCTCGAGGTCTTCTGGTCCGTTACAGCAATAAATGTCCAACGTTCTTGTCTTTTAATGCTGCGTTAAATGGACAGTTTATGGACGATTCAATGCCCAACGGACTGGTCATTGATGTCCAACGTTCAGGTCCATTAACATTACATTTAACACACAACAAATTCTCCTATAAATAGTTGGCAGGTGGTTTGCAACAACACAACTCACAATACATTCTTCACGTATTTTTGAGCTCTAAAACACTTCCTGTTGAAGATCATTTAATTGTGAATCAAGTTTGTCACCTATCTTGTAATAGATTAGCTTTATTATATCTGTGTACTCAATATTTGTATTTATTAGGTTAAAGAATATGGGACCAAGTGTCAGGCCCATATCAGGCTGAAAGCCTTTTCCGCCAACCCTATACTTGCGCATATAAAAAGGCGCTTCAGGTTTAGGGTTGCGTTAACTTTCGTACTCGTTCCAAATAGCCTTAGCGCAAATTCTTCTCTGTACGAGTTCACGGTATATCAAGGAAGGTTTTCATCGATCATCTTGTGTTCATCTTTTCTGTTAATCTTCTACTTGTTATACTGTTTATCTTTGTTGTAATAGAAAACAGGGACTAACAAATGGTATCAGAGCCAAGGTCACGGGTTCGACCCCCGGCGACAGCATGCTGCGCAGCTGAAGGCTGGCAGGTGCTGGGGGGAGATTGTTGGGCCGTGGGCCGCGGGTATGTGTGCCAGCAATCTTCCAGTCTGTCGGTGTAAAGGGGTAAAGAAACGTGGCGTTTCGCTTGTGCTATAAAGGGAAAGGAGCGTGCTACACTATCAGCAATTGCTTTTAGTGTAGTGGTAAGCGCAATGATCCACAAGTGGTATCAGAGCTGATCGAGAGCTGATCAGAAGAACGTCTGCAGAAAAACTGTTTTTCTTTACGCTTTTGTTTCTGTCGAGTTCTTACTCTGTAATCTTGCTTCTTGTCGAAAAAGTTGTAAAAGTTATACCTTTAGAATC